ATTTGTTATATTATTCTCTATGATCTTCTTTATGTTTTCAAGTTTTCATTAAAGCAAAACAAAACAAAAAAATGAGTATTAAATACTACCTAACAAGATAATAAACATACTTCATAATAAGTTTCTGTGTTTGATGCCAAGGGTCTCTGGGTAGACATGACACTGGGTAGAAATGTCTGGAAGTAGTGTCAGTTCTCTGGCAAACCAAGAATTTTTAAAAAGTGAGAGACTATAGTTTCACTCAAATATAGGCTTTCTTAACAGATGATACTTTCCTATAGCAAAATAACAAGTGAATACAATTTAAACTTAATTTTTGAGGTTATGATGAAGATGGTAAGTCTAGAATACTAATCACAAAAAAATAGTAATACAAAAATGAATGCTTGGCTGGGCTCAGTGGCTCACGCCTCTAACTCTAGCACTTGAGAGGCCAAGGCAGGAGGATCACTTGAGTTCAGGAGTTCAAGACCAGCTTGAGCAAGAGTGAGACCCGATCTCTACAAAAAATAGAAAAATTAGCCAGGCGTGGTGGCGCATCCCTATAGTCCCAGGTACTTAGGAGACTGAGACAGGAGCATTGCTTGAGCCCAGGAGCTGGAGGTTGCAGTAAGCTATGATCAAACCACTGCATTCTAGTTGGGGCAACAAAGTGAGACTCTGTCTCAAAAACCCAAAAAGACTTTTAACTGGCACACAAAAATATACATAAGAAAATTATTTTCTTATGGAAAAACTAAGAAGAGATTTAAATAATCCATAAAATTCAAAGTTGTAATTCATCAACAGTAACATTGAAATTATATTAGGTAATAGTATATATATATGTAGAAAACATATTATATATGAACAATGCACATAAGACCAAAATTATTTAAATAAAAAACTGAGTAAGGCCGGGCACAGTGGCTCATGCCTGTAATCCTAGCACTCTGGGAGGCCGAGACGGGCGATTGCTCAAGGTCAGGAGTTCGAAACCAGCCTGAGCAAGAGCGAGACCCCGTCTCTACTATAAATAGAAAGAAATTAATTGGCCAACTAATATATATAGAAAAAATTAGCTGGACATGGTGGTGCATGCCTGTAGTCCCAGCTACTCGGGAGGCTGAGGCAGCAGGATTGCTTGAGCCCACGAGTTTGAGGTTGCTGTGAGCTAGGCTGATGCCAGGGCACTCACTCTAACCTGGGCAACAAAGCGAGACTCTGTCTCAAAAAAAAAACTGAGTAAATAATTCATAAAGCATGGTAGACAGAATCTCAGAAACTGGGTCAAAATTTTTCCAGAAAGCAAATGGTAGTGTTTTGGGGGAGTTATAATATTTATCTAGGCTGGGCATGGTGGCTCACGCCTGTAATCCTAACACTCTGGGAGGCCAAGGCGGGAGGATCGCTTGAACTCAGGAGTTCAAGACCAGTCTCAGCAAGAGTGAGACCCCTTCTCTACTAAAAATAGAAAGAAATTAGCCAGGCAACTAAAAATGGGAAAAAATTAGCCAGGTGTGGTGGTGAGTGCCTGTAGTCCCAGCTACTCGGAGGCTGAAACAGGAGAATCGCTTGAGCCCAGGAGTTTGAGGTTGCTGTGAGTTAGGTTGACGCCACGGTACTCTAGCCTGGGCAACAAAGCGAGACTCTGTCTCAAAATAATAATAATGATATTTATCTGAGAAAAAGGAGTCCCTAGAAATTGTATCCAAATTAAATTCAATATTTGATTATCATCAGTGAAATTTTTAAAGGGGCTCAGGGTATCAAGATGGTCAGAGATGTAAGATTATCTACATATCTATATATTTGGAATATAGTTTTAATAAGTCATAAAAATATTGATATAAAAATTTTGGCGTGGAACCATAAGTATATTTCCAGTGATGATACTATGTTTCCATAATAGCCTACACAGAATAATCTGAGAATGGATTTGGAGAACTTGCGTCAAACAATCCGTGTGCATCATCTAACAGAGAGAAAGCAAATAGCAAACATCATTCAAAACTACAGCAAACTAGTTATCTATAATGAAATCCAAGTACAGTAAATACTATTTAATGAAATAACAAATCTATTAGTTAGCCCATTCCTAAGTTGATCTGACATGATGGAGGAGTTATTTATTCAACAGAATCCAGATGAATGGAAAATATTTTTTTCCTATTTGCCATATAAGCCTGAGTGCTAATGCCTTGGGAACAATCCATATGGACATACAGGTTCCTACAATTGTTTGTGATTTTATCTGAAAAGGCTTGCTGTATTTTATTTCAGTCAGCTCTCAAAGTTTTTCTGGTATTAAAGTACAAATAAACTCTTTAGATTTTATTAGGAAAAAAGTATATAGAGTGTATAGAGTAATACAGAAAAAATCACTCTGTGTATAGAGTAATACAGAAAAAATCAGTCACATCAGAGTAAAGCACCCATGAATATTTCTATCAGCTCATCAATTCCTCTTATGAGCAGGGGTTTCTTCTAACTTTTGATAAACAACATAAATGATCATGTTAAAAACACTGGCATAGATTTTCATTAGCAATATGTTTTGGATAAACATATTTGTACACAGGCCTTTTTATTATGAACACGTACAGATGCTCTTCAACTTATGATAGAGTTATGTCCTGATAAACCCATCCTAAGTAGAAAATATTGGAAGTGGAAAATGCATTTAATACACTCATAAATCCACTGTAAAGTTGAAAAATCATAAATCAAACCATCATAAATCAAGGACCATCTATTTAGTCTTCACTGCATGAAATTTTCCATTTATTCCCTTCTCTAATTTTTTCCTATTGAATGTCAGAGAAGAAAACTCTCCAACTCCTAACCCTCCACCACCATAAAGAAATAGAGAAATTGAGTAGCAGAGTAAAAAAGAATAACTACTCTGCCATTCATATCATGAAAGATTGACGTAAGGAAATAATTCCTAAAAGCCAAAATGACATCACAGGTCCCTTGGAGAAGTAATTAAGGTGAGATATAAATAAACAACAATGAATGAAAATTAGTTGAGAAGCACAGTCCCTGCAGATAATGCTACTCAGATGAGGCTCTCTGAAAGCATCACAGATTCAGCCTAGAATCTCTAATCCTAGAGGTCCAGCAACTGTACACAGGAAGTGTCAAACCTGAATCAAGTAATTAGGCAATCAAGACGCCTGATGAGCTCAGTGCCTAGCTAGTACACAGAACCATTCTAGATGGATAGGAAAGAAATTAATTCATTAGGCCCTAACACTTAATGGCTTGATTCTCTCACAAAACCCTAGTTGAGAAAAGCTGCTCTAGAAGGTGTTTGTTCATGCACAAGTGGAAATAAGCAACCATCTATGTGGCAACCAGATGACTGCTAACCACAAATCCATCACTATGTAGTGGAAGCACATTAAGTGTGGATTTCTGAAAACTTGTATTTCATATTCTTCTTTGTCAGTTCTTTGAATCCTTTACTCAGAACATCATTGAGAATGACTAGAATGCAAAGCTTTTCCAGCCCACCTCAAAACAGTGTGAAAGAAGCTAAAGGAAAAAAAAAGAAATCCATTAAGTATTAATTATAAATTCTTACTTATTATTATTGAGACAGAATCTCAACTCTGTTGCCTGGGCTAGAGTGCCGTGGCATCAGCTTAGCTCACAGCAACCTCAAACTCCTGGGTTTAAGCGATCCTCCTGCCTCAGCCTCCCAAGTAGCTGAGACTACAGGCACGTGCCACCCTACTCAGCTAATTTTTTGTTTCTACTTTTAGTTGGCCAGCTAACGTTTTTTGTTTTTAGCAGAGACAGGGTCTCACTCTTGGTCAGGCTGGTCTTGAACTCCTGAGCTCAAGCGATCCTCCTGCGTCGGCCTCCCAGAGTGCTAGGATTACAGGCGTGAGCCACTGCACCCGGCCCTTACCTAAGTATTGATTTTACAGAACAGTGAATGAGGTATAAATGACTGAGAAATTATACAAGTCCAATATAACAATGACTCTGAAAAACGTTAACTTCCCCCAAAGATGCCTGAGTACCTAATGCTCTCATAAGACTTAATCCCTTTAAGTACCAATTATTTTCCCCCATCTATGCCAGCTGTTGTTATCAGAAATCTGATATTTTTTTTTTCTTATACTAGGCCAAGTCTCTAGCAGAACAGGAGACTGGAAGTCAAACTCAGAGAAGGCGTTAAATGAGCTGTCAGAAGTTGTTTCCAACACTGTCTCGAGGCTTTTCAAGGCCAGTCTGGTCTAGAAGCAAAACTCTACAATGGCTGCACTCTGGGATGAACACAATGGCTCTTATTCACTGCAACACCGATCGCTTCCACCAGCACCCTGCCTAAACCAGACATTCTCTTTTGACTTTTCAGGACTGCAGACAAAGTAGCTTCATGCTATTGCAAATATGGCCTGGAATTCTTTTTCTTTTGAGACAGGGTCTCACCCTGTTGCCTGGCCTACAGTGCAATGGCCTGACCATAGCTCACTGCAGCCTCAAACTCCCACGCTCAAGCCATCCTCTTGTCTCGGCCTCCACGTAGCTAGGACTACAGGCACACTCCACCAGGCCTGTCTAATTTTTCTATTTTTTTGTAGAGACGGGGGTGTAGCTATGTTGATCAGACTGGACTCAAAACTCCCAAACTCAAGCAATCCTCCTGCCTTGGCCTCCCAAAGTGATGGGAGTACAGGCATGAGCCACTACACCCAGACTTGACCTGGCATTTTTAAAACCTAGTTTTAGATCACTGAAAATCTATGTCAAATTCAGTGGAAAATTGAAAAGATTTTTTTTTTTCTCTTCCTTATAGAGGTCTTAAATTTGCCCCAAAACATTTTTAGGAGTTTCCAAATAACAACTATCAGGCCAATAATCCACATATCCCTTTCATTACAGTAGTTATACTGGTAATTCCAGTGAAAGAATTAACAGACTCCCAAGAAGTTACCTTGGGAATTTTAAAGTCACAGTGTGAAGAGTATAAAATATCTTCATATGGTAGAATTGGCTCAAATACACAGTAGTATAAAATTTTCAATGTATGAGTAACATGTAGTCAAAACATAAGTCTACACTGAACATATGTGGAAAAGATATTTAATTGTAAAATAGAAAAGTAGGCCAGAGTACAGTTTTAAGGGTAATTGCTTCTTTATACAGTATAGGTAATCTAGAGGGGTTTTAGGGTTAAACATTTTCATAAAGCAATAAAACATTAAAAAATAAAGCAAAAAAAAAAAGGGTTTGAAGTTATGTTTTACAAAAAAAAAAAAGAACAGTCTGTCAGAGTTTAATGTTCATACATTGTGGAATTCAACGATATTGTGATGAGAGCAAGTCACAGCACAGACATTGAGCTTTAACAGGGAAAAGTAAAAGTTATGTTAGACATATCTGTAGCATCACTGTAGTACAAAAAGTTCTTGTTCTACATACAAAAGCAATTTTTTTCCATAAGAATAATTTCCTGGGGGGAGGGGGGAAATAAGTCCATGAAATATTTCAGGAGCCCATATGGATTGAGTTTTCCAAAAACATTATCTTAAAATCCAGTGCCTTAAAGTGCTTTCATGTGGAAATCATGATGGAAGGCACAGAATACAGTTTCACGTCCCCACTATGAAATTTTCAAAAAAAGTGTAGATTTTGCAAATTCAAGTTATCTTGTAAGCTGCTCCTTCCAAGAACATTGTCATTCCAATAAAACCAGCTGCTAGCTTACTTAGTTTCAATGACCTATAGAATAATAAGAGTTTTTTTTTCTGGCAACTTTCATCATCTTTGTGGGAAAAATACCTATGCCAGTGATGCATTTTGAAATTATAAAACATGCAGAATATGTACAAACAGAAAGTTTAAAAAATATTTGCTTCATATACATGTAAATCTACTTGCATATAGCTGAAATTGAACAAATATAAAAATTTCGCTTTCTAAAAAATGTTTTCAGAGAATCTGAGACAACTTAAAGCTGTACAAAGATTTCCTGGGAGAAATCTCTTCATATAGAAGTTTATACCTACAAGAGTAATTCCAGCATCAGTCCACCATAATTATTATACAACATTTGGTCTAATCGACAACGATCACCCTTAAAACTGTTCTGTTTCTGAGAAATTAAGGTTCGTACTAAAATCAAAAAGAATTCACAAAAACAGTGGCTTTTGTGTTTTTGGATCTCTTCAACAATCTTTATCAACTCATTTTGAACTGTAAAAAAAACAAAAACTATTTACAGAATTCAGTTTTAAATACATTTCACAACTTCTATTATGTTACAAGAATTCAGAGCTCATGGCTTAAGTCCAATTATCATTCTGTAGTCTCTTCTATTATCCTGTATGCCCATGACTGTACCTTTATTGTGTACAGTTCAAGATTGTATTCTTTCTTGACCAAAAGTAAAATCAAACTACATGTTCATTTCAATTAAACAGCTTCTTTATTAGTCTGAAGGCGAGTCATAGCTTCTAATTTCTGTCTGTAGGCCTCTGCTTCCTGTTCTTTCTTTAGAAGCTGCTGTCGATACTTTTGTGCTTCTCGATTTGCTTCATCCAGCTGTTTCTGAAGAGCTTCTCTCTCCTAATTAAAAGAAAAGGGTTTTTCAATTTTTTCACAAATACATTATTAACACACATAAGCATGCATCCTTCAAATTAAAAAAAAAAATGTAGTAGCTAAAAGTAGCCACACATTGAAATTTCCTAGACATCTTGCCTTTTCAACAAATTCACTAATAATTAAGCCCCTAATTTTGTGCTCCACACTAGGAAATACAGATTAGCTTCTGATTTCAAGAAAATTATTTTCCTAATTGTAAATAAGACTAATAGAATAAACCCAAATTAGGTACTTGTACTTTTATATGTACTACAAAAACTAGAGAAGAGTTTTAAGAGAGAAATATACAATCGCCTCTTCATATCTTAATTTGTGATTCTTCAACCTAAAGGCAATAATTATAAAACAATATTTACTGAGTACTCACTATATGATTAAACAAGGTGGTTTCCAACAATGAGCTTCTAAGATACATATTAAGCTCACGTCATAGATGAGAACAATGGTGCTGAGAGATAATGTAGCTTTCCCATTATTTTGGGTTTATAGGATCCTAATATTATTGCTTTTAAAACTATCTTCCTCTCTGATAGCAAGATACCTCACCTTTAAAATGAAGAGTGCTTAACTAGATTAGTATTTCCTAAATTAAACTATTTTACAAATCAATAAAACACTAAATTCTCTACTGTGATCCATTAAATTATAGACATAAAACATACATATTAAATTCCTCAATAAATCGAGAGCTGAAATACAAATCCAATCCAATGAAAATCTGCCTCCTCCTCTTCCTCACTCTGCTCCTATTCAGTTATCTCAGGAAAAACGACATGAGAAAATATTTCAAAGAATCCTTTCCCAACACCCACCTCTAAGTAAGCACACGGACAAAAAGCTCAATCTGCACAGACCCTCGCTCAGGCAAGATTCCACAGTTTCAGGAATGAAGCAACCTCATCACAGATGCCCAGAACCTCTTAGTGGGGTGGAGGCTGGGGGTGGGATTATAAATCACAAGGCCAGGTTTACACTGGGCAAGACACTTGGCCCCAAGGGAACTAACGGTGAGAGGTTGGCAGCCTGCTGGGGAAGAACAGTATGGGGGTCTCTCCCTATATATCCACTGGCTCCTTGACTCTTGTCCATTGTGAGCACCAGAAGATTTCCCCTCCTTCACTATTCACATGATCCATAAGGAGAAGCATATATAATCCCCCTGCCATCCTGTGATCCCACTCCCTCCCTCTCCATACTGGGAATGAAGCTAGATCCAACATTTATTTTTCCCTTGGGCCCACCAGATATGGGAGTGATTGATTATACAAGTGGGCTCCAAACCTTCCGATTACAAAAAATATAAAAGCAGAAGAAAGGATTGTCCCTTACCTTCAATTTCAGCAATGCCAAGATCCTACCCTGCTACCTCCCTACACCCCTGCTACCCTTTTCTCACACTCTTCTTACCCTACCTCCAGGCAAGCTGACAATGTAGGAACAAATCAGAAAGGACACCTAAGACGAGCCTCTGGTAAACAATCAATGCCAGTCCCCTGGTTGTGAACTATGCAAGACTTTGAAGACACCAATGGAAGGGGTGGAGAGTGGAGGGTAGGGGCTGGAAGGAGCACTCACAGCCACTGATAAGTGTTTTAAAATTTTATACATGTGTGAGAAATAAGATACTTTAGTAGTCAAAGTTCTGAATATGAGCAAAAATTCACCTTGATTTGGTAGGAGATATTGGAACAGATTAATCCTAAAGTATCTTGTAGAATTAGCTATTTATCAACAGGATCTGCAAGGGACTCACAATTATTGCAGAAGACGAAAGCAAACTGAGTGAGGTAGTCTAACAGTGAAAACAGTGTAATCCTATTTTCCTTACTGCGTATTTTAATTTCAAGAAATGCAACATATCTTAATAGAAATGAAAAGACAGCTCCCTTCTGCCTACTGGGCCAAATAAAAGACTCATTCTACAATGCTTTTTTTGCTAATTCTGTAAAATCTGATAGACAAAGATCATTAGCACTACTCTTTGAATCTTTTAATCTTCAATATTGAAAGCATGATTAACATTATAAATTTAAGTATTTTCATCTTTTACTTAATTCTCAGGAATACAGGTATTTGGGGAGACATCTTTTTGCCGTCTTAATTTTCAAAGCAAATAAAAATCTCTGAAAGGTGGAAAATATCACTTTTTGTTTTACTCATTGATCCTTTGTTTCCAAATTTATTTGTCAAATGTTTACTGAACATATATTACATGGAAGACACTTCCTTAATGCAAACAGTAATTTGGTTGTTTCACATATGAATAGCACAAAAGACCAACATTTGAGATCTATATGTATTTACATAGAAATGCCAATCCTATGGTTATGATCTTTTGCAATAAAATTATAATAAAAAAGGATTTTGACATTTTTAAGTAAACACAGTCTTTTTTTCCTACCAGTCTAATATTAAAGAATTCTAAGAAAAATAAATCCTGATGATAATCAAGATTTGGTAGCAATAAGGAAAATATTTATCTTGCCAGACAATTCTAAACCCAAGCAACATAATGCTATTACATTAATCAATGATATAATAGAGCCAGGAAAGATTTGAGTTTGCTTTTTAAATTTTAAATATGATTCTTGAATTTTGCTTCAGCTTACAGCAATGATCCCTAACAGTTTTATCATCTTACTATGTAGTTTTTTAATATTCATATTTTGCTTTACCTATTATAAATCACAAAACTGTTATAGTGAGTTATCTTCTACCCTACCTGAATATAAATTTTAGAGGAACAGTAATAGCAACCAACATTTACTGAGCATTTACTATATAATAGCCATTATACTAGTCCTTCACATGCATTCCCATTTAATCCTCACAACAATCTTACCATGTAGGTGTTATTATTATTTCCCACCTTTGTACTGACAGGGAAGCCAACCCTTGAATGGTTAAATAACTTGACCAAAATTACAAAATCAGGAAATCAGAAAATAAAGTTCAAACTGAAATCTGATTCCAGACCCATATTCCTAACCACTAAATGTTTTTTAGAAAAAGAAAGTGGGTGGGGTGAACTGTTTGCTTGTGTGTAAACAGCAATTTTTCTAACTGCCCTGGGCCAAATATAACAAATATGATTTTGTTTTTACAAATAACAAAGTTATTTGTAAAATAACAAAGTTTTATTGAAATACAGCCACACCCACTCATTTCCAATATGCTGCTTTCCCACTGCAATGGCAGAACTGAGGAGTTGCAACAGAGACTACGGTTCCTAGAACCAAAAACATTTGCTATCTGGCCCTTCACAAAAAACTTTGCCTTCTCTTGACCTATAGAAAAGACTTATCAAGAAGAGATATGACTATAGGAAATTTTAAACTGTGGCAGATCAGGAAGAGTTATCCATTAACAAAGGGAAAACAGATTTAAAACATTTTATCAAATAAAACCTTGTACAAAGTTTACAGAAATCAATTTTTAAAAGAACACTAAGGATCTCAAATCTACCACTAAAGGACACAAATATTTCATTAACAATAAACAAAATTCACTAATAAACATATTTATCCTAACCTCCATGGCAAATAAAAAGTAAAGGTACTTCCTGAATTTATACAACCAAGTTACTGGTTGTTACTATTAATGCACTAATTATATTCCCCCCCCCTTCTCAACAAATACAAAGATTAATTTAAATTCAGAACATTCTAATGTTTATTTATGGAAGAAATCTATAAGTAGCACACTTCCTCCAAAAATACCTTCAATGTAATAATATCAAAGCAAGGGGTGGTAACAAAATTATATACATTATTGCAGTGTTACAGCTGTTTTAGAATTTGTCTAGCAGGTTTTATGGAAGATACCCATAAAAATAATTATATACATTACTGCAATGTGGTCTTATTCATAACTTCACCTCCAAAAAATAAATCTATTTCATTTTCCATATTGCTATAAATTTCCTACAATTTAAACTGATTTCTCCTAATATTATTGGTAAATCTCTCCATTGTTAGTTGGGAAACTCTATAAACATAAATTTAGTACCCTCTTTATAGACAGTCACTATGGTAATTGCAGACACACAGAGAAAACCCAAACATGTTATATTTTATATAAGTTAATTTTTAAATTTCTTTAGAGCGAGTTTCTATTTTTTGAGACAGAGTCTCACTCTGTTGCCTAAGCTAGAGTGCCGTGGCATCAGCGTAGCTCACAGCAACCTCAAACTCCTGGGCTCAGACGATCCTCCTGTCTCATCCTCCCAAGAAGCTGGGACTACAGGCATGCGCCACCACACCTGGATACTTTTTCTAATTTTAGTAGAGATGGGGGTCTTGCTCTTGCTGAGGCTGGTCTAGAACTCCTGACCTGGAACAATCCTCCTGCCTAGGCCTCCCAGAGTGCTAGTATTGCAGCTATGAGCCACCAAGCCCGGCCTAGAGCAAGTTTCTAAATCTCAGCATTATTGATATTTTTCAACCACATAGGTCTCTTGTGTGGGGCTGTCCTGTGCATTGTAGGATGTCTACCTGGCCTCTACCCATTAAATGCCAGTGGAATGCCACTAGTCATGACAACCAAAAATGTCTCCAGACATTGCCAAATGTACCCTAGGATTAAAATAGCCCCAGTTAAGACCCGCTGCTTTTAAGAAACTTTTTCAAGTTAATGGTCAACCTGTCACTTAGAAAGGAGTATAAAAATCTTCCCCCAACAGTACTAGTTACCTGAGAAAATAAAGTCAAAAGAATTATTTCATGTATTATAAGGAAATGATTACCTGGTTTGACGAAAACACTGGAGGTCATCTCTTCATCCTATATCTCCAGCCCACCTCTACCATCTGTACTCACTGTATGCGTCAAGGTTTCTCTGTAATAGCCCTAACAGGTCATGCAACCTTGGCTTGAACATTTCCAGTGATGGAGAATAAGATTTCCATTACCAGAACTCTAATTACTAAAAACAAAATAAAGCACACAAAAACTGCTATTCTTTATATCAAGCTAAAACTCGACCTCCCTGAAGTTCTATCTCCTCGGTCTTAGTTAATTTACATACCTCAAATTCATACTTTCCTTTATTTGCAATTATTCTCCCTAGTCTCTCAAAGACTGTAAAAGAGGAATTTGGAGTGAACTTTGAGGGGAACAGCAATGCCTACTGGTCATTAGGTAAATAAAGGTGCAGGCTGCACAGTCATAGGTTAAAAAACACAATTTGTTCAACTGAATAAGTTTATATTTAATAAAAATTCAAGTAATTTAAAAATGTTTTATTAAATAGTTAAAGCAAAGTATGTGCCAAAATTCTTTCACCTTACATCCGAAAAAGATCTGACATATCAGAAAAAGGCAATAAGGAGTATTAAATAATAAGTATACTGATTTTGTTCAATGAAATAAATTGTTAGTTTCTGAATAAGAACTTCAACATCCTGCGTATCACTTTAAATCTTAAAGAAATAAAGCAACCCACCATCAATAAAGTCATGATTTTACCAAACATTCTGGTTAAATCATGAATCAGATTCTTTTAAACTCAATGATGTATTAATTGTAATTGTGGCCAAAGATGTACTAGTCTTATATTTAAATTAATTTGGGAAGGGTATTTTCTAATTTTCTTTAGTTGGAATTATGTTGCCTTTTAGTGACTTTTTAAAAAATCTTCTCCTTTCTATGAGAATAAGAACCTTTACAAAGAACTATTAAATATTCACCAAATTTACTTAGATATCATAAATATTAAAAATGAATGTGCTGAGTTTTTCAATTCTCATAAAAACCCTAAAATGGAGATATTATTCTAAATTCCAATTTGAGACATAATAAAACTGAAACTCAAAAAGGTATTGTATCTTGCCTCAAAGCTAAAAGGGCAACAGGCAGGATTCAAACTCCTTCAAGTCCAATGCTCTTTCAAAGTTATTCAAGGATAACTTTTTTTTCATTTGATATATGTTAATATCAAATTCAGGGAATGCTTTGACTTGTCTGCTTTCAGCTAAAAAAAAAACCCCAAAATTCAGGAAACACAGTTTTATTTATAGTAAGATGAGAAAAAAACTGTGACACTACAAACTGGTTTACACTTACAACCTAGTTTGGGAGAGGGCAAAAAAAGTTGAATCCTATCAACAATCTAATTTACTTTCCTTAAAAGATTTAATAGTGAAATAAGCAGTTATCTACTGCTTTTTTACAAAATAACCCCTTTGACAAACATCAACCTTTTTTAAGAGAACCCCCTAACATAATTAGGCATTTGCATTTCATTTTTGAAAGAAAAAAAAAATTTTTAGCCAGTATATAGTGGTATTTTCCTTTAGTGACTTGTGAGAATGGTGTGTTTGTAAGTTTAATAGAAAATAAAGGATGGAGTGCAAGAACCAAAGACATCTCAATGTTATCAGATGACAGACTTTGTTACAAACGAATTCTTCACTCACTCATTCATTCATTCAATATTTATTTATTGAAGGCTTACTATATGTATAAGGCAAAAAAATAAACAAAATCATAATACTATGCACTTTCATTCTGTATTGAAACAACACTGTCCGTAATAAATATAAAAGACAAAAAAAAAGTAAATTGAATTTATTTTGGATGACTGCAGCAAAACACACCGGGTAAAAGACTCCTTACTTCTATTTCTGCAGATTCCACCCTGTTTTCAATTATTTCGATACATTGTCTCTTAGCTGGTGGTTCTTCACTTATAACAGTTTCTTCAGCAATGTCCGTTGCTGGTACTGTTAATACTAAAATAAAAAAAAGTGTATGCATTATTTCATTTTCAGACAAGTTTAGTAGAAATAAAACTAGTCTTCACATCATTGATGCTACTCATCTGAAATAAGAATATTCCAAAATAATAATTCCAAAACACTGATTTGCTTTTTATGAGGCTGTCCATATCTGTCTTTTTCACCTTGCTTTTTTTATTATAATCTACTTATTAAAGTACCTACTTATTTTTTAAAATTATATATAATATATTCATTCATATGACTCAAAAATCAAAATATTTAACAAGCATATTTTGGAGGCCTCATGCGTACCCTTCTAATGCAGATAATCATTTATTTCTTGTGCGTTTTTCTTGTATTAATTTATTTTAAAGCAAAAATGTACATTCTCATTTTTCTTTCTTACACAAAAGCTAGCATACACATACAATACACACATTGAAACATACATACAATACATAATATCATTTTGCATCTGTTGTTTTCACTCTAAATATTTACTGTTGTTTTCACTCTAAATATTTAGAGTATATTTTATATCAGTACATAGAGAGTTTCCTTTTATTTAAGTATATAATATTCCATTATATACATATACCATTATGAACGCTGTTCATAACCTTTGCTTGTTTCCCTATTGATAAAGTTCCCTATTAGACTTTATCTCAATTTTTAGTAGCTCTTTACATAAATATAAATATATAGAGAGGCTGTCTTTGCTTTGCACAGTAGTATAGGACCATAAATGTCACCGTGCAAGCTGAAACCATGCAAAGCAATCTTAACAATCAATGAGGAAAATTATAATTGTTCCACAGCCTTTAAAATTTTTTGTCATGAACCTTGAAAGCATTATGCTAAAAAAAATTTGTCAAAACATGAAAAACTCTTACTGTCAGTTATTAAATATAAATGTAAACAGAAATTTTAAAAAATTAAAACTAGTATTTATTTAGTACAATGTAATTTAACACATTAGAAATATTGAGAAGGAAAGTGTTTTCATTCATATCACATTCACAAATTTTTCCTTTTTTCTTTTTTTTTTTTTTTGAGACAGAGTCTCACTTTGTTGCCCAGGCTAGAGTGAGTGCCGTGGCGTCAGCCTGGCTCACAGCAACCTCAATCTCCGGGGCTCAGCGATCCTACTGCCTCAGCCTCCCAAGTAGCTGGGACTACAGGCATGCGCCACCATGCCCGGCTAACTTTTTGTATATATATTTTTAGTTGGTCAATTAATTTATTTCTATTTTTGGTAGAGACGGGGTCTCGCTCAGGCTGGTTTCGAACTCCTGACCTTGAGCAATCCGCCTGCCTCGGCCTCCCAAAGTGCTAGGATTACAGGCATGAGCCACCACGCCCAGCCTTTTTTTTCTGAGACAGAGTCACAGTCTGTTGCCCAGGATAGTAGAGTGTGGTGGTGCAATCATAGCTCACTGCAACCTCAAACTCCTGGGCTCAAGCAATTCTCTTACCTTAGTCTCCCAAGTAGCTGGGACTAAAAAGAACATGCCACCGTGCCTGGTATTTTTTTTTTTTTTTAATTTTTTGTAGAGATAGGGTTCTCACTATGATACCCAGGCTGGTCTTGAACTCCTGGCCTCAAGAGATCCTCCTATCTCAGCATCCGAAAGTGTTGGTACTATAGGCATTAGATACTGCACCCAGCCTTTAAGTTCCTTTTTCAACCAGAATACTTTTGGGCCAATTTCTCTTTCCACTTAGTGTGTACTCAGAGAAAGCAAGCTATTTGCAAAGGGTTACAAAAATATGATTCAAGGCAAAACTAAATGCTTTGGAAAACATCACAATTATCTGAGAATTAAAAATAAACACAAACTTTACACAAATGTCTACTACTAACCTTGTTGTCCATCTGGCATGGTCACAATGATGGGCTGACCTATTCCACTGGTGGGAATGGAGTGTAAATTTCCAAGCTGAATTCCATCTGTAACTATCGTGATGACTTGCTGCCCCCCAGAACTAACTACTTGCTGAATTGCACCATCTACAGATTCTGCTGTAACCACTTCCTCCGTGGCAACTACTGAAGAAAAAAAAAAAAAAAGTAAAAATCAGTGAACATATATGAGTATAAACAGAAATTTATTAATATTTTTACTTCGCTACTATTGCCTTTCCTGCTTCTTCCTCACACAGAAAACTTTTACATGGTCTTTAACTCACTCTCCAGTGGTGGAGTAGACAACTATATAAACAGTTGACTATAAATCTCATAATTTACAATAAGTGAGTTCTAACTATTTTTACATGTGAGTGATTAAATAAACAATTTCTCTTCATTTTATTATATGAGGTACAAAATTTGTAAGATCTCCTAAGATCATGACAAAGGTTATGTATGTTTCATAGAACTCCACAATTCAAAAGATAATTTTGAATGTAATTATATTTCATTTACACATGAACTGATATGCAGAATAAATAGTATTCCCTTTTTGGAGTGAGCGAGCAAGGATTGCCTTGATAATAAGCAGCATGCAGATCTGGTACTGTATGGTATTAAAAAGATAGTATTTTAACATTTACATAAATAAAATCCCCAAATATGCTCTTAATAGTTTGTGAGAGTCTCCGAGAGGATTCTAGCAGCTAAAACCACCACCTCTGGCCTTGCTAGGGTAAAGAAATCACAAGTTAATACTGCCAAAATCCTTTCCCACAGGTACTCCTATGCCCAAATACTGATCCCAAAAGATACGCACAGCAACATTCATCACAGCTTTACTTATAATAGTCAAAAACTAGAAACAGCCCAGATATTCACTGATAGCAAATAAACTATGACAGAGTCATATATTGGAATACCCCCCAGTAATTAAAGTGACTATATGCAAAACATGGATGAATCTGACAAAAAATACTGAGTAACGTCAATCACACGCAAAATAATATGTCTACCTTCCATTTATGAACTGAGCAATATTTACACAAGAGTGATTGCTTTGTGATGATTCCTCAAACTGTATAATTATCATCTATGAACTTTTCCACATGTATGTTAGACTTCGGTGAAAAGTATCAAAAGGAATAATGATAATAGTGAATTATAACATTGAATTTCTAAAAATATACCTATAATAATACCTCATAAAAGAAGAGAGCTAGGGACAAAGGGAAAAGATCTTCTTGATAGACAGTGACATCTAAATAAAAGGAATGACAAATTAAGAAATATTATCATTGTAACCCCTAATGTAATAATTTATTCAAGCGGGGATCACTAGTGGGTGCTAAAAGCATTGGTGAAAAGTTTTGAGGAAGCAGGATATTCAAATGTTCTCAAAATATCACACCAAAGATTACTGCCAGTTATGAAGGGGAAAATCTACCTTGTGAAGACCTGGCAGTCACCATTTCACCAAGTGGTCATTATCAGGACAGAACGACATTAATGTGCCTCCTGAGATGACGCAATGGGAAGTTATAAAATATCACTGGTGTTCTTCCTAGAAATGAATCTAACTATTAAAAAAACAAAGGAATCCAGAACGTAGGTGCTCCTGCAGACAACTGGCTTGGACCCTACAAATATTTCAATGTCACAAAGAACAAGGGAGGCAGTAGCAATATCCTAGATGAGAGGAGACTGAGAAGACACAATAATCAAATACAATGTGTGAACTCCAATTGGATCCTGGATGAAAAACAAATAGCTATAAAGGACATTTTGGGGACAACTGGGGAAATATGAATATGGACCATATGTCAGATAATGTTACTACAGTGATGTTGATGTTTTTATAAAATAAAATGGAGTTATGCATATGTAGAAGGCAGTCCTTGTTCTTGGAAGACGCATGCCAAAGTACTTAAAAGTATCAGGATGTCTGCAGCCTATTTTCAGATAACTTGGCAAAATAGACGTTCACGTGTGTGTTTATGTGTGTATGAGAACATATGAGTGTGGCAAGATGTTAACAGCTGGTGAATACAGGTGAAAGATGTATAAATTCATCCTCTAGTTCTTCTATGGGTCTGAAAACTGTCAACATAAACAAAATTTTGAAAATATGACTAACTCAGGCCAGGAGCAATGGCTCACACCTGTAAACCCAGCATGCTGGGAGGCCGAGGTGGGGGGATTGCTTGAGGCCAGGAGTTTGATACCAGCCTAGCCAATATAGCAAGACCCTGTCTCTACAAAAAAAATTAAAAATTAGCTAGGTGGGGTGGCACACACCTGTAGTCCCACCCAGCTATTTGGGAAGCTGAGACAGGAGGATCACTTGAGCCTAGGAATTCAAGGTTACAGTGAGGTATGATTGTGCCACTGCACTCCAGCCCAGGCAACAGAATGAGACCCTGTCTCTTATTTTAAAAAACTAGCTCAGAGGCCGGGCGTGGTGGCTCACGCCTGTAGTCCTAGCTCTCTGGGAGGCCGAGGCGGGCGGATTGCTCGAGTTCAGGAGTTCGAAACCAGCCTGAGCAAGAGCGAGACCCCGTCTCTACTATAAATGGAAAGAAATTAATTGGCCAACTAAAAATATATACAAAAAATTAGCCGGGCATGGTGGCGCATGCCTGTAGTCCCAGCTACTCGAGAGGCTGAGGCAGGAGGATCGCTTGAGCCCAGGAGTCTGAGGTTGCTGTGAGCTAGGCTGACGCCACGGCACTCACTCTAGCCTGGGCAACAAAGCAAGACTCTGTCTCAAAAAAAAAAAAAAAAACTAGTTCAGAAAAAAGAGGTAACATAAAAACTATTTCTGAAACTCCTGGGCTCAAGCGATCTTCCTGCCTCAGTCTCCCAAGTAGCTGGGACCACAGGCACATGCCACCATACCTGCCTAATTTTTCTATTTTTGTAGAGATGGAGTCTTGTTCTTGCTCAGGCTGGTCTCAAACTCCTGGCCTCAAGTGATCCTCCCACCTCAACCTCCCAAAATGCTAGGATTACAGGTGTGAGCTACCATACCCGGCCTTCTATATGACATGTTTTTTTAATGTGTTGAGGCAACACTTTACAAAAAGTATAATTAAATAAAACCATTCTCTATTGAAATCAAGCCGCCATTGAGATACACAGTTGCTGTGAAATATACTGAGTTGCCTCCAACTCACACAAAGGACATCATGGATATTGATGATCACAAGATTTGCTAAAGACAGGGAGGCCATAAATATACCAACTTCTTTTTTTAAGAAAAGACAAGATAAATCTTGGGATCCTACTTTTTAAAAAGTACTCATGGCAAGAGACCTGGCTTCAACTCTGCTCCTGTGCTATTTGGTAATCAAGAATCAGAATACAAACCCTACAGAATATTCAAAATCAAACAACCTTTATGTTTTGATTTCTCTCATTATATTTGTTTGCCTTAAACTATAATTAGTTTTTATCACCAAGCACTTAAAAAAATTTCAGGAAGATAATTACAAAATGAAATGTAGGGTATACAATAGTAATATATTTGATGGAACTACTAAGGTTTCAAAAACATTAAGTATTGCTTTGATTTTTTTTAAAAAAATCCATATGAAAAAGAAATGTTCATTCTGATTGAATACTAACTACAGGTGGTAAATGTTTTAAAGCATAATCATATGTAAGAAACTTCTGAGATCACACACAATCAAGGCACAACTCAAAAACTTTCATCTTTGCATTATTTGCAATGACTGTCATTAAAATAATAATCAGTTCTTGCCTTTCATCTAAAAAGCTTTCTTTTTAAGTTGTGCCATGGTAAGGTATTTAAGAAAAAATTAAAAGGAAACCAATTACGTAAGAAGACAAAGTGCTCCCCAGAAACCCTAAGAACAACCCAAGAGTAAAATGTTGAAACACAAAAGAATAAAAGAGAAAACCTAAAAACTCTAAAAAGATTGTTGATTAAAAAAAATAAGAATATATATATTCCAAATTGTAAAAACCCCTGGATAAAAAATAACTGTAATGTCATAAATATTCATTGACCTAATTCAAAAGTCAAAGAGGGTAGGTGGGGGGTGAGGGATCAAAAACTAACTAATGGGTAACAATCTATACTATTTCAGCAAGGGGTACACTAAAATCTCTGATTATACCACTATACAATAAAAAACATTTATACCCCCTAAATCTTTTTTGGGGGAAAAAAAGTCAAGTTGTAATATTTACAGAGAGCCTAAATAATCTGCAGTACCTTTGAAGATATGTGAAGTCTCTTGTTCAACATGACTTTTGAATTATAATGCCATAAAAATGAAACAAGATAGGGAAGAAGACTGACTTTGAAATGTTATAAAAGACTCAAAATTCTACGTAGAAATATTTAAACAACAAAATAGAAACTATGCTTATTGAAGAAAAGTAACATTTCAAAGGCACCATGCCTGTAATGGAACCTGAAATTAAAAACAAAAAAGCAAAAACAATCTCACAAAGCCCAGTTAAGTACCCCTTAAAGCCAATTCAGTTTTAATACCCTATTTTAGGAACAGACCAAAAAACAATGTGCAAAAGGGACCTGGTTCAAATTTTACTATTGGAGAGAAAGGAGGGAATTGTTAACAGCTACCAGATGCATTACACCTTTTGAAAAACCATCTTATTAGCAATTGGCAAAGGCTGCTCTAAAAAAAAAAAAAAAAAAAAGGTGGCATAGATGTCAAGCTAATCAAGGTATTATATAACTGGGCCACAAGGAAGAATAAAAAACTAAGCAAAGTTGACAGAGAACTAAAGGCTAAAGCTATAAAACAAAATTTTATGAAAGAGTATTTTGAAAGGACCAGATTAACTACACTATAGATGTAAGCCCACATCTTAACCAATCACAATCTCCAATTCTACATCCCAAATAACTCTCAAATCTATTCAGAAATAAATCTCTTTGCCAAATCATAATTTATGCTACCATTACAGTGTCTCTTCCCTGGTTTGATTACATTAAACTCCTAACTAAACTCCTTTCCAGAGCATTCTTCTAAGTTTGCCAATGTGACCATTTTAAGTCCTCCATAATCTTACCTTCAATCACTTTGGGCTATTCTCCCCCTAACTGGGTTTAGCCACACTGGCCTTTGCATTCCCTGAAAAGACAAGCTCTTTCCTGCCTCAAAAGCTTCACAATGCCCTCTTCCTAAAATGTTCTTACCCCAACTTTTATCTAATTCCTTCTTAATCTTTGGTTTAAATGTCTCTTCCTTTAGGAAGATTCCCTGACTTATCAGAGTGGCCTTATAGGCTTTGGAAGAAAGAGATAAAAATATGATAGCCTCTGTTTATTAATAAAAAGCATACTACATAGTGATGGTTTTCCTCATGAGAAAAAATATAACTGCAATTTCCAAAAGGCAACTTTTACTTTTCTGTCTCTTCATTTTGGAATGACTTACAAAATGGAAATAACTTCCAACATGGAATGACTTGGAATGAGTTCCTATCTATCTAAATCTGACCCACTCTTTGGGGCACAATTCAACATGATCCTCTTCACTGTACCCACCCCCAACTCTAGCTAAAGTAATCTCTTTCCTCTGAACAACAACAGTAATTCAATGAGATATTTTAATCATCAAGCATTGACAACCTACATTTTATATTTGCTCGTAACATCAAGAAAGGTATTATCTGGTTCCTCAATGAAAGCATTATATTATAATAGACTTTATGAGGTTCCCATTAGACTAACATTAAAATTTGTTTTATATATGAAAGGTGGTCCTAATGTAATCCTGAAGATGCTATTTAAAGCCATAATTTCGAAGTGAAATGCCTTAGTACCCTAGACTATTACAAGTGCCTTCCCTTTATATATAGGACCATGCCCAACCAGCCAGCTTCCATTTAAAATACAGTCCATCTGCTGCTACATTCTGGTTATTTGGTATCTAGTAAAAATATTTCTTGTACTACTTAACTGGTAAAAGAAAAGAATATGAGCAGTAACAGGCAATGAACCGATGGTTCTTGTAGTATATTTCAGTCTCCAATCATTTAAACAGGGCAAGACAGTAGCAGAACACTCATTTCAATAGACTACTTATTACTAGAAAAAGCTACAGAAACAGATAACCCCAGAAGTAGAAGTAGCGATGCTTTGCTTGATATAAGATAAAATGATAATTACACAAATACTTCAATATTGTATAATTCCAATATCACAAACTAAATCATAAACATTCTAAAAGAGACCAGCCTACAAATCACCTAAAGAAATCGCATAGGAGACACAGTATATTATATTGGTCACTGACACACAACTTGGGAATCAGACTTTGAGCATAATTCTCCTTTTAACACTTAACAGCCATGTGACCTTGGATAAAATTATTCAACTTTCCCTAACCTGTTTCATCACATGTAAAATGGAGGTACTGCTACTGTATTTTTCAGATCCTAACAAGGCCTTGAAAAGATATATATAAACATTTCTAGAATCACAATGAATCTGACAACTGATGGTAAAAGAAACTGAACAGCCAAGAGTCAGAGAAATAATCTGTGTCAGATTTATCTTTGCCAGAGCCATGTGCAAATTGAGCTTTGAGAACATATTTATTTGATTACACACCTCAGTTCAGTTGTTTACATTGGTAGCAACATACTTACCTGAACTTTTACTTAATTCAAGCTCTTAAAATATCTGCAAAAAGATTCTACTATGATGTAGCATTAGAATGAAAAAGTATTATGCTCAAAGAAGGTTGTATGTCACATGCAACAAAAGTCAATTGAAGTTACTAATTCTCTCAGACTAGACCATAACATTTTCAAAAGAAGAAGTTAGAGAAGTTGGTGTGGCAAATTCATGGAGCCAAACGTCTAAATGTCAGAACTGCCGGTGACTGTCAAGAAAGGCTATTTAATTTTCAAGGATATGTGATTTAACTAAAGAAAAGAAATTTACAGATTTAACCAAAGAGAAACAACCAGTGAAAGCTGTTTTCTTTGATATGCTTCTGCAATTACAAAGGTGCTAAAGAGGGCAAGTATCTGAATCTGTGACTTTTAAGATACGTATTTGACTTGTTTTTCTAACCTGGAGTTTCTGAAGAATTGGACAATGGAGCAGACGCTTCAGCTAAGGCAGCTAATGTAGCTAATACTGACGTAGAGGAGTTTCCAAACTGAACAGCAGATACACCCGTTTCATCTATAAGAAAAAAGAAAACAGATTTCAATTTCCAAGGAGCTTAATCCAACGCGTATTTCTGATATTCTATTCTAATGAAGCCTGGATACCATTAGTTTTTGAAAGGTAATACTGCAATACATTTTGCAATATCACCTTTCCCTAGATTGTTCTGTCTCATAAAAAATTTATTTTTGCCAATTATACCAAAGAAAACCAAGGTAGCTGATATAATCTTACCCTTATTCTCCAACAGTCCTTTCTTAAAAGGATGAATACCTACTAAAGCATAAAATCCCAACAGCTATCCTATAGGCATCTCAATACCTGTTGCCTTGGATGAATTTTCTGAAGATACCAGACCTGTTAGGTTCACCACCCCTCCAGGTCCAATGATAAACTGTGGTGTTGCAGCATGTATCGTCACAGTGTCAGGACTCTCTGGGTTTGTGTTGATTTGGTTCTGCATAGCAATCTAGGGGATAAATTACCACAATGTCTTCAGAATTATAACCAGAACATATAGCACAAACACACGTATAAAGGAACATTCTCTAAGAAGAATCATATAATACAAATGGAAATATTTGTCTATGGTCTACTGAAAGTGTTGTGGTAAATCACAGGTATGAATTTACATCCTAAGCCCCCCTCTTAGGCAAAGCAGCAAAGCCCTTTGAGAGGAGAAATGGGTATCTGAAAAGCTTTTATAGAACACAGAATAATTAGACATTAAAAGATATTCTACTACCCTGTAGCTACAGAAATTAAATTATTTAAATTAAATTATTTACTCTACTGTATTCAGCAATATGTAACACTACATATATAAAGCGTTCTCAACTAGTTGTTCCCACCTTCAACCCCAACCCCAAAATTATACTCCTAGGAGTAAAAGAATGGAAAGAGGCATGGTAAAATTCATCTTCCTGAACATAAAACATTTTTAAGTAACTAGAGGAAGTTCAATGGAGTCAGATGGCTTTGGAGAATTCTATTGGAAAGGGAACGAGAAGATAGGCAAGAAGAGACAGTAAATAAAGATAATTTACATCATGTCATGTAGCTGAAGAAAAGAGAAGTAATGTTGGTTACTAGAAAAACCTGCCCCAAAGCCAGAAACAACTACGTCCACAAACAGATTTTTTGGAGGATGTTATAATATAAAAGAAACAAATCAGAATGATAAAAATTAACGCTCACTCAAATTGAGGGCATTATTGTGGTTCCTAAACATTATTTAAATTTTTATAAAGTAATTTATAATAGACTTTGAAAAACCACATAGTCCCCAAAAATGCAACAAAAATAATTAATAGAATAAAATGTCTAGAAGGGGAGTTCAGGAACTTAAAACACAGAAAGGAATCACCTTCTCTAATCTAATATTACATAAAAAGGCTGTGGTCTTACAATCAGGAAAATGAACAGTAATAAAGAAAAAGTGAAAGCAAAAAAGGCTTGTCTGAAATAACTAAGTCCAAAATGGAAAGCTACAAGCTCAATAGCTTAAATCATCCACAAGACAGAGATCCATCAACATACAAAGCTTCTTTTTGTTTTCTTAAATTAAAAGCCAAAAGTTACCTGTAATATCTCTGCTAAATCTTCATTTCCATTGTCTATTGAAATATCAAATGCAGTTTTACAAAATTTACTTTGTGTGTGTACATCAGCACCATATTTGATTAAAAGTTCCACCACCTCTTGATGATTATGTTCTGTGGCCCAATGCAGAGCTGTCATCTTTAACATGTCCTTTGCGTTGACATCAGCACCATGCTACAAAAATATTTCAAAATAAGAGATCACTAAAATATGAAATATGGTATATAAAGAATTCCAAATATGAAAATACTAGTCCCTATGCTTTAAAGCAAGAATAACATGATCAATCCTTTATTTTCGTGTATTAAATATATGTTCCAGCAACTCATCTGTTACTTGATCATTTGTCTATCATGTGACTTTCCTAACTGCTTTCCTTCTAATTTCTTAGGAATGAGGCGATTATTTTCTGTCACCCAGCTCTGAGCATGAAGGGCTAGAATGGCATAAGAAGTAAAGGAAACTATGAGCACTCCTCCAAAGTCCTCTTTAATGTTATATGGGAGCTGGCCCCTTAGTTCCTCGTTGACACAAAAATAGCCTTTGCTTTCAAAACCAGTGCAATATAAGAAATTAAAAGAGAGCGATCTAGAGGTACACTATCCAATATGATAGCTACTAGACACATGTAGCTATTAAGCACTTGAAATGTAGCTAGTCAAGATAGAGCTGTACTGTATGTGTAAATACACACTGGAATTCAAAGATTTTATACCAAAAAAATAGAATATAAAATATCTCATTAATAATTTTATATTGATTGCATGCTGAAATGATAATCTTTGTATATACTGGGTCAAAAAATATAATATTAAAATAACTTTTGACTTTCTTAATGCAGTTAATAGGATATCTAGAATTACAGCATATTTAATTATGTGATTGCATTTATGACTTGCATTGTATTTCTTTTAGATAGGTTGAACTAGAGGCTAGGATAAAAAGGATCAAGAATAATGTCCACCACTTTATGCTTCAGAATTTTCTATATCACTCTTGGCATTTAGATGATTAAAGAAAAATCCCCATTTATATTATTTGTTAATTTGTTTGTTAATCACTCTAGCCTAATGATCCCTTTCATGAACATTTTGACTGTATTAGGACAAAGGTGTAAGTCCCTCACCATAAGGTACAACAAGGTCTAAAAAATCAATTATTTGATTTAACTAAGAATGTATCTAAAGGAAGTCTTTTTCACCTCAGGAATGAAAACTTTAAGATAATTTTCATTTAATGGTCTGATATATACAAAAAATGAGATACCATAGGTAAAACACTAGGTGGGCATTCAATAAAACTAGTTCCCTTCTCTTTCTTATAAAACCATAAAGTCTTTGGGGCTTACTTTCAAAAGCAAACTGCAAAAAACCACCACATACCTTAAGTAAAACCTCTACTATGCTGGCATGGCCCTCAGAAGCTGCCATGTGCAACGGTGTTCGGTCCACTTTGGTTCTGGCATCCCTACTTACACCAGCTCGGAGTAGAACCTCTGTGGTGGAATAATGCCCGTACTGCGCTGCCAGATGAAGTGGAGAAGTTCCCAGCTATGACACGAGAAAAAAAAAACCCACATTTATTGTTATTTTTAATACACTTCTACTACTATGGACTATTTTATATTTTCTTTTTACATAGTAAATAGATTATGTTATCTGATTACACAGTAACTCAAAAGAAACGACCTGATTTATGCTTATCACAGCCTCTTCATAGAGGCCTTCAAGAATCCCCACTTTTCAGTGAAGAAGAAAAGCCAGTATTTCCTTAAATTCAAACTTATTTTCTTCATTATTTTTATCAGTTAAATTTATTTTATCAAATAAATAGCTGAAACAAAATTAATTTCTTTAGGGATTACAGATAATTAGGGTTTAAGATATGTTTGTGAGTTATTGGAATGTTTTCTTCATACTAATCACAGAAAACTTGCTAAATTAATTTCTTTTTATCTATAAAATTCCTAACAAATAAATGTAATAGTGTAAATTTTTATATTAATTGGATCAAAACTTTTGTACCGTGTTTCCCCGAAAATAAGACCTACCCATAAAATAAGCCCTAGCAGGATTTCTAAGCATTTGCTCAATATAAGCCCTACCCCGAAAATAAGATCTAGTGATGGCCGTGGCTACGCAGCGTATCTGCACAACCCATGCATTTCGTCAGTTGCAGAGCGGTAAAGAAGAGGAGCAGCCCTTCTCATCTGCCCCATCGTGGCAGCTACTATCCCAGAGGAATAGGATGGAATTCGGAGTTTGGAGAGTTATGATGATGTTCCAGAAGAAGACAACTTAACTATATTTGAATAAATGTAGACTGTTGTATCGTACTTAAAAAAAAATAACACATCCGCTGAAAATAAGCCCTAGGGTGTCCTTTTGAGGAAAAATAAATATAAGGTCCTGTCTTATTTTCAGGGAAACACAGTAGGACTTTAAAAATTAATTAAAACACCTCAGTGGTTTTTTTTTTTTTTTGGAGATGGTCTTGCTCTGTCACCCAGGCTAAACTGCAGTGGTATCATTATAGCTCACTGCAAACTGAAACTTCTAGGCTCAAGCAATCCTCATGCCTCAGACTCCCTAGTAGCTGGGACTACAGACTCAAATCACCAGGCCTGGCTAATTTTTCTATTTCTTTGTAGAGAGGGGGTCTTACTCTTGCTAGACTGGTCTCAAACTCCTGGCCTCAAGCACTCCTCCCACCTTGGCCTTCCAAACTGCTAGGATTACAGGCATGAGCTACCAGGTCTGGCCCCTCAGTGATCTTTTAAAGGGGTTGATGTAGTCATTTTCAAAGGAAAAATCTGAGGTGTACTTGCCAAAGGCGAGTCAGGATAGAACCAAAACAGAACCCAATTCTGAAATTGGTTCCACGTGGTCTAGCCATTAAATTGACATCTACAACATACAGTAAAGGTATTAAAATGTGAGTGAAGGAAGAGTCTTATCAGAGGCATAACTTTAAATAGCTGAAACTCAGAATTAAGTTACTTCACATGCATTTAGAGGCATAGAAAATCCCTATAACTCTGATTGACAAATCATTGATATTCCAAAGAACTAAGATATTTCACTAGAACATGAAATTTGCTAAGACCATCACTGTAATAACAGCAAGTTTTTAAAATGTTTTCCACAGAACACACTGTGCTAAGACCCTAACAATTATTATCTCATTTAATCTCTTGAGAACATAGTTATTATTACTATCCTCACTTGGCAGTAAAAGAATTTAAGCACACAAAGGTTATTAGTTTGCGTGAAATAACACGAGTAAGAGTTATAACACAAAGCTAAGCATGTGCTCTTAATACATGGTAAAAACAGAAATCATTTACTTTGAGATTAAGTATTTTATTACAAAAATATATATATGTATGTATTTTTTAAATTAGAGATGGGGTCTCGCTATGTTGCCCAGGCTAGAGTGCAGGTGCGAACATGGTGCACTACAGCCTCAAATTCCTGGGCTCAAGCAATCTTCCTGCCTTGCCCCAGTTAAAACCTTATATTTGTAAGGAAAGGTCATTCCAACAGATAAAAGAATATTCTTAAATCCTTTCTTTCTCCATGCTTTGTCATATTTTTCTATAACTGGCCCTTTCGAAGTTATTAAATTCTAATATTTAATGAAAGTATCTCAATAGCCTGTTTAGCAACCAGGAGTTTTATTCAAAGTGACTTTGTATTCTTTTTCTTCTCACACTTCCACCATAACTATTTAAGAGCTCTCACTTCACCATCTCCTCACCAAGCCCTGGTACTGCCCAACATTTTTTTTGCTAATTTAGTGGATATGCAATAGTATTTCATGATTTTATTAGGCATTGCATTTGCCCAATTATTAATGCAGTTGACCAATTTCATGTTTATTGATCATTCAAACTTTTTCTTCAGTAAGTAGAATATCAAGTCATATGTCCAGTCCTCTCTTGCCTTGTCTGTCTTTTTATTGTCTATCCATGGAAACTCCTTATGTAAAGTAGATGGAGTGATAGAGGGAACAATTCACTATGATTTAATAATTCTTGAAGCTGTATAAAGGGTATTCAGGGATTTACATGTTTGAAATTTCCCATAATAAATTTGTTTTCATGAAAAATTAAAAATTAAAAAAAAAAAGAGAGAGAGAGACAAGTAAGCCAAAACAACAAAATCAAAAATCTAGAATTTTTAAGCCAAGTGCAGTGGTGAGCATCTATAGTCCAATCTACTTGGGAGGCTGAGGCAGGAGGATTGCTTGAGCCCAGGAGTTCAAGACCAGCCTGGGCAACACAGCAAGACCTGAACACTTAAAAATAAATCCAGAATTTTTAGTTGTTATCAGTAGAAGGGTTAATTCAGATTCTTAGGCCTCCATTTTCCCAAGATCATACTTATTGAGTTACCCCCAGAATTAAACAGTTATGTTTTTTTTCCTTTCCTACAATTGCCTTCTATAGTTATCAGGAACTCATTCCCATTCCTTTATTCCTCTTTGGTCATGTTTGCAATTATTTTACAATTATTGATTGAAATATAAACTTCTTTTGTTTTTTTAGGAGCAGTTATAACACTAACTCCAATCCTTATCTGTAATTTCTGAATTATAAATTCTACCTGTGTAATTTATAAGATCTTTAAATTATATCCCAAGCAGCTATATTTTATATTCATCCCACATTAGTACATTCCAAAATTTAAAAGATAAACTCTTTTGTGGACAGAATATTTGGACGAGGTTGTTCACTATCAAAGAAAATATGACTTATTCCTTTTAAAAGATAGTTGTAATTCTACCATTATAAAGAAAATTTCAAAAAATAATAATTTTTAACTACTTATAAGCATAATACTGACTAAATTTTTATCTGGAAAAACAAAAATTAAAAGGAAAAAAAAACCCACAATATTAAAATCATTCTTTACCCAGTCTGTAGTAAAAGGAGCTCCATTTGCCATCAAAATACGAACTTCATCATCTTGACCTGCTCGTGCCGCTTCTAAAAGCTTCTTTCCCAAATCTACCAGGGACATCTAAATAAAACATAAATGAACTGAACATTAAAATCTCCACTTATATATTATGACATGACTTTTTTCCTCTCTGGTCTTTATTAATAAGTCAATTCTCAATTATCCCTTCAAAAGGTTGTGGCATGTTTAATCTAAAACCAAAGATCACACAAAAGCAATTTATATCTGGATTTTTGGAATAGATTTTCCTTTCTCATTAAGTTTTAACCTAGAAAAGAGTTAGTTTGAATTCTCCAAACATAGCTAGTAAAAGTTAGAAAAGGGAAGTAGCAGAGAAAAACTTATAAGATCTTAAACTGGCAACTAATTTGTTTTCACTGGAGGAGTTACAGCAGTAAAATTTTTCATAGAAGGAAATGAGGCACAAGATATTGTTCTCTGTTACTTGTGCAAATTAAACGAAATCTACCATAATTTTTTCTTTGCAATGGTGAACGTGCTCAGAATTTTAAAGTAAATATTTTCTACCCTTGTACATGCAATGCACATTTAAGTTCTTCCAGAAAAGGGCACAATTCACACTCTATGAAAATACTCAAAAGAGAATCTAACAGTATTATGAATAGATTATGTATCACAAGAAGAAGCTAGAAAGAATGCTTTCAAAGATACTGGAAAAGGCTAATGTTGTAGCCTAAGATGGGGTGATGCGTGTGCGTGTGTATCTTTTTTGAATAATACTGAAACAGGTGTCAGAAAAAGATCATGACAGGAGAACTTAGGTAAAGAAAGATCTGAATAGTATCAAAGATATTCAAATTCAAGGGATAACAGTTCTGAGGAGAGGTTTCCAAATCCGAAAAGACTATCTAGCTGGAAGACGACTCGATGTGATATAGTAACCAAGAAAAGGCAAACAGGTAGAATCTTTAGGCTTGTAGGGAAGAGAAGATACAGAACCCCTGAGATTTATATAAGAAAAATGTGCCTGGGGTAGGAATTTGTCTCAAAAAAAGTATATACTCTTTAAGGGTAGTCAAGGGAAAATAAGTTACAAAGAGAGGAATGACAGGCTGATTAGTATATTCATATCGTTTCTGAAGAGCTATTATAGGGTGAGTATCCCCAATCCAAAAATCCAAAATTTTTTGAGTACCTACCTGACGATCAAAGGTAATGCTCATTGGAGCATTTCAGATTTTGGATTTTCAGATTAAGGATACTGAACCAGTAAGTATTAATGCAAATATTCCAAAATCTGAAAAAAATCTGAAACACTTCTGGCCCTAGGCACTTCAGATAAGGGAAACTCAACATACATTCAAGGAAGACAGAGGAATATATGTGTGAGAAGCAAATTGGCAAATGGAACTTGAAAAGGTTATTTCTGCCAGGAATAAACAAATTGTACTACATAATTAGAAGGGATGTTAGGAAATCTAAAAGGGATAATTATAAGAAAAGATGTCCCTGAAAGTACATAGAATTAATTACGCTAAAATTACTATATCTTTTAGTGGATTCTGTAAGATAGGAACAACCAAGCATAGAAGGAATAACCTGGAACAGACGCCAACCACTGAGAGGCTTGCACAATAATTAAATGAGATTGATGTACACATCCAAAACAGGCATTTATCACAAGGGAGGAAAGAATTTCTTAGAGTTGTTTCATTTGCAGTATAAAAACAATTCATATTATATCCTATGGTGAAGAATAAGAAAAATAACCACATGCATTTGTGGGTTTTACGTGGATTTTTTTAAATGTGCTTTTTTTTTGTGACACTTGCAACATTTCACCTTGAATTTCTGATATCCTTTCCTTTTTTCTCTCATTCTCTCAGACCTTGGTGGAATCACTGAAACCCAAGATACTACTTAAAGCACTAAGATCTAACAAATACAGTGTCTATACACTGGATGATCAAAATTTCATATATATCTGGCTTTACAATGAAATATATCTTTCCAAATACATATATTTTTAAGTGTGTTTTACACAGGTAATATAAAATTAGTTTGCATTCATTCAGCCTGCATACCACCAGATGGTTTAGATATCTGGGTAACTTTTATGAAGTGCCAGTTTGGGGCTTTTCCTCATATTTTGAATTTGGGTTGTCATGTCTTTTGCTTATTGATCTGTAAATGTTCTTATATATATTCTGGATGAGTCCTTTGTCAAATATAATAAATATTATAAATATCTCTTTCTAGAACCCTGATTTCTGGAATCCTTGTACTGTGTTCTTTAATATCACACACTATCTTCTATGGGTAGATAATTGTTCAGTCTCATAAAAATGTGCAATGTCTATACATTAAAAATAAATTAATTAAATAATGAAAATAAAATCAAAGACAACAAAAAAAAATAAGTTTACCACAAAATGACTGGAAGAAATATTAATGTTTTACTTATTTAAAAGGTCTAACCGAAAATGAAAAGGGAAAAAAATAAATATCAAGAATCTAAAATATCAATAGTCAAAAGACATGACTATATATTTCACAAAAGAGAAAGAGAAATAATTCACAAGGGCAAAAACATTCAGTGTCACTGATATTCAAATTAATGTCAAGTATATAATTTTAAAATAATTCCTGATGCAGTCAAGGATAAGGTGAAACTGATGCCTTTTTTTTTTTAATTGGGTCTAGGCAGAGGTAACTGATACTTTCTTATGTTAACATTTCATATATGCTGATAGCAATATAAACAGATCAGCTTTATTTTTTAAGTCAATTTGGCAAATTTAACAAAAGTTAAAAAAAATGTCCAAGCCTATTGATCACTAAATGATCCCACTTCTGAGAATCTAAAGGAAAAATATGTTGAAATAGATCTATCAATAAAGATATGTATATATACACATGTATATTACATATAATCATTTCTACAGAGAATAATCTAAAGGTAGGAGAACAGTTAAAATGTAATAATACAAGATGTAATTTAACATAATAGTTTTGAAGCTATACAATAACAAAAAGTTTATGCCATATAAGTGAAAAGATATAAAACTAATTTTTGAATGTCAAAGTATGCATATGAACAAAATACTGAAAAATATTAACAATAGTTAGGATGGTATGATTACGGAAAACTTTGCCTCCATTTTACAAAGTTTCTGTAATGTTACCATATTACCTTCCTAATTTAAAACATGTTTTTTAAAGGGACAAATTACATTCTGTGACTGTCAACTAAGTAAATGATAACATTAAGGAAAGTTAAATACTTCTGACTTACTAGACAGCAAGAGTAGGGGGGAATAAAGAAAATGTAGGATAGTAGAGACTTAAAATAGCAAATTATTGATCTATTTATAAGAATTGCAATAAAACAATGAAGCATAGTAATAAATCAACTTAGTCCACAATTCTCCAACTATATTAACTATTCAAAACATATCAGTTAAGAACCTAGGATACTTAAGTTACTCTGGTTTTAAAATTCATGAGCAATACAGCTGTGTAGTAGATTAATGTAAATGGATACTTGGAAATCAGTGGTACTTGGCCAGGTGTGGCAGCTCATGCCCATAACCCCAGCACTTTGGGAAGTCAAGATGGAAGGATCGCTTGTGCCCAGGAATTGGAGACCAGTCTGGGAAACATTGTGAGACCCAATCCCGACCAAAAAATTTTTTTTAGTTATCCTGGCATGATATCATGTGTGCCTGTAGTCCCCGCTACTTGGGAAGCTGAGGCAGGAGGATTGCTTGAGCCCAGGAGTTGGAGGCTGCAGTGAGCTATGATCACATGATTGTGCCACTGCACTCCAGCCTAGAAAACAGAAATGAGATCTTGTCTCAAAACAAAACAAAAAAAATCAGTGGTTCTTAATGGTAGCAGCACTGCCCCCCAGAAGGCCTTTTGTATATTTGTGGAGGTATTTTGGGGATTGAAGGTGCTCTGCTAGCATTTAATAGGCAAGTAAGTGCCAGGGATAATAGAGGGCCAGACATGGAGGGAACAATCCCAAAGGGCAAAGAACTGTCACATGTTCTATATAATTTTCAATGGTTCCACTGAATATATCTAAGGATGGAACCTAACTAACATGTGAATAAAATGTATTTTTTCTACAGTCTTAATGTACCCCAAATACTCCAGAATGCAGCCATACTATGAGTCTATTTGTTTTATTCAATCGTATCACCAAAGTCAGTGCCACTTTGGTATCTGTATCACCAATATAACGCTGTGTCGGCCATCTTATTCAGCTATCACATTCACAGCAATTTTATGTGCAGGTACAAGCTTTTGGCTACCTCACTGTGTCATTTAATGTGGCCTGCTTGGGAACTAACATATTTTAATATATTTTATTATCAATTGTTTCCCTCCTATTTCTCCTTTATATTATAATCAAAACATTATGATCTTAGAAATTATGCAGATAGGTAATGTTAACTAAGATTTCATTTCAAGTTAGCAGAAGGGGCAATACATTTATTATAAAAAAGGCAGCAATGGACAGGGGTCCTCAAATTACGGCCACATGTGGCCTGCAGAGGACATGTTTTTGCCACCACTGCCTGTCCCTGCTTAGAAGCCAACTCATCCCGGGCCCACAGTGTGCATTGTAGAAGGTGTGCCACACTCTCCAATGGCCCTCCAACGATCTGAGGGACAGTGAACTGGCCCCCTGTTTAAAAAGTTTGAGGACCCCTGAATAAGATTGAAAATCAATGAAAGAAAATACACCAGATCAAGCAAGACCAAAATCAAAGCTGCTCTAATTTTCTTGTCAAAACAATTAGCAAACTTTAAATAATGCAATTACCAAAATGTAGCAATTTCACTTCTGATTCTCACCTGTTAAGGACCACACACATTACAGTAGATTTTTGACTCATGGACACAGTTGCAATAAGAAAACAAGATTGGCTAAGGGGAACCATAACTCTAGGTAGAGTTCCTAATTTACTCTGCTCAGTACCTATATATTAAAGTACTAGATTTTAATAAAATTAGTATTTTAATTTAATCTAGCACCTTAATAAAGTACTAGATTTAATAAAATCATTTAAAGGTTTAACAATCAAAAC